ATCAATCACTATATATTTGAATAAATTTTAATAATGATTTTGGTATCAATGATTATTAATTTTAGTTATTAAATAATCATAAATATCAAAGTTCTCAATGTCGTTGTACTTTATTATTATTATGATCAAACTATTTTTGTATTTTCTTATATTTTGTTATTAATTATTTTTAATGTTGTTGTATTTTGTTATTTTCAATTAAATGATATTATTTTAATATGATCAGTTTGATCTTGAGTTAATCCCACTTTAACCCATTGATCCTTGAACTACTACATCAACCAACCAATTTAGTGTCTGATCTGGTTTTTTGTTCCTCACAAACTATGCATAGTGCGGCCTGTTTTTTCACATTTTATATAAGAAAGATGTATTTAATTTATTGGTAAAATGGTTGTCCTTGGATTCGGTTTTATATCGCAATGACCAGATTTTCAAGAGATTATTTACCTATTATGGTTAATCAGACATGATTATATTACACTAAAAATCTAAAAATATATACTTACATTGGAATGGTGATTACCATGGGAGATGTTATTAAATAAACGGGATCTAGGAGTTGCACATGTACATGTGCTCTAAGGCCACTGTGATCATTTTATGAGCAAATTCATCTATCTTGAAGGCCCCAATCCTTCACAAAGTTCCCAGGACCAGGAAATTTTTCAAATGAAATTTATCCCAGTTTCTCAATATTATTTAATGTGAAATAATATATTTTAAAATGTAGCAGTACATTTTTCAAAGATTAGTTTTGTTCTTTGACAAAATTGGTGATAAATTCTTCCTTAGAAAATTAATTAACAAATGGTTCCTAAGATGATGGTTTGTACAAAGGAAAATAAAATGCACATAAGGGAAGTTGAGTTGCACATAGGGAAGATTATTTGCACAAAACATTATTCAAATACAAGAGGCTAATTTGCACATAAGAATGATAACTTATATATAAGAGAAGATGGTCACACATATGAGAAGTTCGATTTCATGAAAAGAAGATGTGACGCAAGGAAACATGATTACATATAGGGGAAAATGAATTGCACATAAGGAAAGTCAAGTTATATATTGATAAAATTAAGTTGCATAAAATTCTTAGGTATCATTTACTAATTAAATCCTCAATCAAGGATTTATTCTCAACTTTTTCTTGTTCTTTTTGTTGTTTTTTCTCTGTATTTTTTTGCTCTGTTTGTATTTTGGATTGTTTTTGTTTCTTTTTTCTGGCTGTTTCTGGTTGCCACTGTTCTGTTTTTTTTTGGATACTATGTATTCATTTTTTAGTATTAACAAAATGTTGCTTTCGTTAGAATGTAGTGATACATGCTATGAAGAAGTTTCATTACAATGGCCAATGTATGTTTAGGCTTTAATCAATTGCAAGCCAAAAGCCCAGCTATACTCCCCCTCTCATATTTATATAGAAGATAATTTCTTTTTATTTTATTTCTAAGTCATGGTACTAACTTTTTTCTTAGTCATAGTGCTAACATTTTCATACAAATGTATAAATTTTCAAGTCACAATACTATTTCCGATTTTTAATATAAGGCCTACTCCCTCCGTCTCTTATTATAAGATTTAATTTTTTGAATAGATTTGTCTATTTTATAAGATCCTTTTTTAGTTTGTCTGAACATTTAATGTATTTTTACCTATTTTACCCATAGTTTTATGCATTTAATGCATTCTCTTTCTTCATTTATCTCACTATTACTCTCTCACATCTACCCATTTATATATAGGGGTATATTTGAAAAAAAATATATTTGCTACATATTAATTGCTTTTAACTAATTTTAACTGTTTTCTTAAATAGCGCAATTTAGTTAAAATGATCTTATAATAAAGAATAGAGTAGTAGTTGATTAATCTGATGAGATTAAGGAAGTTAGTTAAATTATTTATTTGTAACAAATAGACGTTGCATTTCCTAAAATAACCTTATTAATTATGTACGTTTAAATTACCTATTGATGTTAACTTCTTAACATATACAACTAATATGGGTATTGCTTGATGGCAAAATAGATAAATGTTAAAAATAAAGTGGATTGAGGTCTTATATTTAGGATCAAATTATAGTTCTTATATTAAGGATTGACAGTAATATTAAATATTAAGAGAGACATACAGTTAATTAAAAAATATATATTAAATATTTAGACATTTTTAAAACAGAGAATATTGCAATCTAACGGACCACTTTGACACTTTCAAACAGTGGCAGCAAGTGGGGCCAAGCTGATAGCGGTCTTGCTCAAGAGCAGACTTACCGTAATCATTTAATTGCGATGGAGAAGACTAATGCCTGAGTTCTTGCATTGTGACGGAGACCATTGGCATCAATCAATTCCCAAACAAAACTTATCTAATTATATTTTTTTAAATATAAAATTTATTTTATAATATAATTTAGAGCAGGAAGAGTATCATTTTTCTTTATGAATAATTTGATTGGACTTATCTGAGGATATATATCTTTAATTTTTTAAATTACAATATCAATGATTCCATTCATGGTGAAATTGTGATAGATGTTAGGAATCATTTTCAATCACTTATAATAATGTAATTTGATAAGATACGTTCGTTTTGGATAAAATCAATTTTAAACAAGTTCTTCTACTTAGTTAAGACTAATTTAATTGATATTAAATTAAATATTAATTAATGTAATATTATTTAGTTAGAATAGATAACCTCATTAAATATCACAACTTATAAGGGCGGCCTCAAAATCCACTATTAGCTAATGGTATTATACTCTTCCGGTCCTAAAAATAAGACCTCTTTTGTAGTATAAATTTAGGACTCTTTTGTAGTGTAATTTACACTACAAAAAGGGTCTTATATTTAGGACTGGAGGAGTATTATTTACAACCATTTCATAATTTACAAACTGAATTGTAAGTAATCTTTTAAAAATTACAATTAATCTTCCGAAATTTACAACCTAACTTATAAAATTTACAACCATGTTACCAATCACAAGGGAAATTTATCCATTTGGGTTTTATAAAAATATTGGTCATTCTTTGTAAACTTTAAATTCATGATTTTTTCAAAATAATTAATTTTCTTCCATAATTCTCATGCACGATTCTTCGGATTAATCAGCCTTGGTCCTGGGTTTGAAAAATCAGATTGATGGATGAAGAAATTAAGAGTCTTCCTCATCATCAAATGCTTTATTTAGAGACAAAAGAAAAAGAAAAATTATACTACCTCGAATCCTTAATATAAGACCATGTTTGACTTTTATTTTGATTCTAAATATAAGATCCCAATCCACTTTATCTCTCATATTTATACATTTTTTTCCAAAGTAGGCTTTCTAGTAATGATAGTTCTAGTCAATACACTTGATTAGTAAGGACATTTTAGGAAAGACAACACCTATTTATGACAAATAACTAACTCAACTTACTTTCTTAATCTCCTCAAATTAGTCAATTGACTCTTATAATTAGGACCGAAGGTAATATTATTTATTGAAAAGGGAACGCTTTAGATATCATCCTTTGATTAATTTAAGAAAATTGTCAAAACAAAACTCCCCATCATATGTTTGAAATTTATTTAAAAAGCCAATTACAACATATTTTCAGCCCCAACTATGTACAATATATTTTTAACTGTTTGCACAGCTTAAGATATGTCAGACAAAAGTGAAGAAGGATCGAAACTGAATTTCTAAATACTGTTGGACAATAAATTTTGCAATAGGAGATGTTTAAACAATTTTCCAATCAATTTATTAGTTTTTAGAATAATGTAACGCTAACTAACAAATTGGCGTGATCTTCCTAAAATACTCCAATGTAGCATTGTATTATCTACCAATTTATAAATTAAATAAATTAATTTGAAAAAAATCACAAAAATGAAAGATAAAATCATAAAATAGATTAAAATCTTATATTGATAAAAACTACTACCTCCAGTTCTTAATAATTAATATAAGAACCAGTTAAATAATTTTAAAATTTTTAAAACTATTAAATTACTTAATTATAACATATGTCATATAATATCTTTACAACACTTATATATCTTATTAAATTATATATTAATTTATAAGTGAGACAAATTAGTTTGAAAAAAATAATAAATATAAATATTTTAAAATAATTTATTATTATTTTTAAATCACTCCAAGTTATTCAATTCTTAAGTATAGTATTTAATCAGCTCCGATATTAAAAAACTATGAGTAAAAACGAACGCAGAAATCTGCAGCTGAGGAATCACAAATGGGTTGGTAGCTTTTTTTTTTTTTCCTCAAATGAAAGGTATGTATATATTAATCAAAATCAGATAACTTTGCAAAAGCCGAGCGAGGAAGAAACAGAACCCGTTTAGAACAGTTTATAAGTAGTTTATAAACTGTTTTTTAATAAGAATTTACAAAATATAAGACAATATATGAGAGGAGTTTTGTCTTAATTTACGTGAAATGTGTTTACAGAAGAATTTTTACACCCTCCTAAACAGGCACACAAAAACGAAGTCACCTGTTCACAAATAAATCCAAAATATTCCTAACTCTAATAGTGTGTTCAGTGAGTACATTCATAGTGTCTGAGCGAAAGGAGTGGCCTTGAGAGTGGTCTTGAAAAATCCGTTCGTTGCGAGAGTCAATGGGTTGTTAGCTTTTTGGGTAAGTCAAGGTCTTCCACTGCCCCTACGTCGGCATCTTCTGTCTTTCTTCACGGTGGAAATTTCTCAAGCCGTCAAGCGTGACGCCTTTGGTCAGTGGGCCCCATCGGATCCCTCTCATTGTTCTTGGCCTGGCATCGACTGTAACCATGATTCTGTCACAAAATTAGATTTTGGTGACTTGAACATCACCTAAACGATACTCGTTTCCGCTGTGACCTTAAAAATCTTTCCTTTATTGATTTTGGCTTAATTCTTTCCTTGAGGAGTTCCCAAAAACTCCAAACTTAAGTGCCTTGACCTCTACCAGAGCAACTTTTCGAGTCTGATTCCAAATGACATTGACCAATTGGCCAACCTGCGTGTCCTTAATGTTGGCGCCACCCAATTCTCTGGCAACATTCCAGCCAGCATCGGAAGGTTGAAGGAGTTGAGAAGTCTTCAACTTCACTGGTGTGAATTTAACGGGTAGTATCCCTGATGAAATAGGCGACCTGTCCACTCTTGAATTGTTACGCTTAGTATTTTATTTTATTCTATTAACCATATTTATGGTTTATTTTAAACAGTGGGCCAAAAAATATTTTATTTTAGCATTATATGATGTCATGAATGATACCGAAAGATCCTATTGCTAATCTATTCTATTGAAGCATTTTCCAAAGCACACTCCACTTCCACATCCATATCATTCAAATACCTCTCCACTTAAATTCATTCAAATACCAGTAATGTATTTTTACCTAATTGTTTAATATTCCTCCAGTCCTAAATATAAGATCTTTTTTATAATATAAATTATACTATAAAAGAGATTTTATATTTAGGACAGGAGGAGTATAATATTTGATCAAGCTGACTAATTTAAATCCAAAGATTATGAGGCCTAAATTTAAAATTATGTTAATATAACTTCTTTTATTTATAAAATTAAAACCTTTATCTTTTAGGAAACATCACGTTCATTTCACTAACCCTAACAATCATATCCGTACTTTTTCCCCCTCTTTTGACTGAGCCGCTATATTTGCTGTTAACGAAGAATACTTGGCAGATACTGGATTATTGGCATAACCACTAAATTTTAGTCAACCAGACTGATGTGAAAAGAAATCTCAGCCGTGCGCATTTGGAAAGTGAATCAACAAGCACATAATTACTCTTTTACCAACAGATTCCTTTTTTTAATTAAAAAAAAATTCAGGAAGTATTTTCCATTCTAAATGTTAGATAATTAATTACAGAAACTCAAAAATCAATTAAGCTATTTATTTGTAAAAGTCTGTATTAATTATCTAAGATACTCATTTTAATTATTTATATTACAAACTACTTCATTCATAAAAAATTGTTTTAATATATGTAATTAATATGAAGAGTTTAAAAACTTTTGAAATTTGAAAAAATTATATTGATGACTTATATTTAGAAGGTAAGTTTTAGTCTTAAATATAAGTCATTAATTAATCTTTCTTGTATAGAAGAGTTTATCATTTTTTTAAAAATTAATTACTTAACTTATAAATTGATATATAATATAATACTACATGTAATTATTTTAGAAAAGTTAGTCCACATATCTTATAATTAAATAATTTATTTAGCTTTCTTACTTTATATGAATTAAATAAATAACTCATTTATCAACAACTTAAACCTGATTAGTGTGAAAAAGACTAGAACGAGATAGGCTTTGGGGTTGAATCTGCAGAATATGAATGCTATGTGAAACATATTGAATCTGCAGAATATGTTGAAACGAAAAGAGTGAATGAAAAGGTTGATGTATATGGCTTTGGGGTTATCCTTCTGGAGCTGACAACAGGAAAAGAAGCCAACTATGGAGATGACCACTCGTCTCTTGCAGAATGGGCATGGCATCAGATTCAACTAGGAAACAACATAGAACAAGTTCTAGATGAAGATGTTAAGGAAATTTCATACTTGAAGGAAATGTGCAGTGTCTTCAAGCTTAGGGTGATGTGTACAGCCAAAGAGCCAGTTGGCAGGCCTTCCATGAAGGAGGCTCTGAATATATTGCTCCGCTTGAAAGAACCATGTGGTTATGTAGAAATGAATTTTGGTCATTTTGATGATGTTCCTCTCCTAAAGAATTCCAAAAGGGAGAGTAGGTTAGATATTGGTAATGATAGTTAACCAGATTTATGTTGTGTTATGAAATGTTGGGGCCTGAGATGGCTCATAATGTGCTGTAACTTGTAAATCTCATTTCATTTTTTGTAGAATGAATTGACAGATGATGTAAATATATGTGAGAATTACATTTGATCTTCAACTGTCTCTTTTCTCTCTATCTCTTGTATAAGAGCTACAAGAGCTAAATAACAAATGTGGATTAAAAAAATTAATTAAATTAGTTATTTGTAAAATATTTGTATTGGTTTTTTTTATTATATCTCTTTTAATCATTTGTATTTTTCATAGAAACTCTTTTAATAAGTGCAATTAATAAAGATAATTTGGAGAAAATATTACTACCTCTCTAGTTCTTAATATGAGGTTAGTTGGGAGTTAGGTTTGGTTCTAAATATAAGAGTTCAAATTATTTTACCTCTCATTTTCCCTAAGCTATCTCTATTAATCGTGAGAGGTTCCACCAAAGGGTATTCCAATGCATATGACTCAAAAAAATAGTTTAGAAATGTCAACACACATTTATAACAAATAACCAACTAAATTAATCTCCTTCATATCCTCAAATTAGATATCTAATTCTTATATTAATGACTTGATGTGGTATAAATGTGGAGGACGAAACATATGGAGAGTATTATATATTTAGGATTAAAACACACTTTTTAACTAACTCGTATATTTAAAATTGGGTGGAGTATGTATAATTATACATACTTTTTTTTTGCATATAAAATATTTGAATTTGAAAGTCCTCTCTTATTTCTAAAATAAGTAGAATTGTGATATCAAAGATTATCAGTTATGTTAAATATAAAATAAAAATTATAACAAGTTATATTAATTATTCCCAAATTATGAAGGAAAAAGACAAATTGAATCAACCAGTTCAACCGAAATCGTGAACTAGCCAGTGGTGTGACCAAGTTAGAGTGCTGAACTAGCCAAAAGTTGAACAGGTGGAAACTGATGTAAACCGGTTTGGATTATTATGTTGTTATCGGTCCTATATTTTCTTATTCATTAACTCCTAATATATCAATCACTATACATTTGAATGAATTTTAATAATGATTTTAGTATCAATGATTATTAATTTTACTTATTAAAGATTTATAAAGATCAAAGTTCTTAATATTGTTGTGCTTTATTATTATTATGATCAAACTATTTTTGTATTTTCTTATATTTTGTTATTAGTTATTGTTAATGTTGTTGTATTTTGTTATTTTCATTTAAATGATATTATTTTAATATGACCAGTTTGACCCTAAGTTGATCTTGGTTTAACACACTGATCCTTGAACCACTGCATCAACTAATTTAATGTCTGGTCTGCTTTTTTGTTCCTCGCAAATTATGCATAGTGCGGCCTATTTTTTCACAGTTTATATAAGAAAGATGTATTTAATTTATTGGTAAAATGGTTGTCCTTGGGATTGGGTTTTATATCTTTAGCAAGGACCAGATTTTCAAGAGATTATTTACCTAATTATGGTTAATCAGACATGATTATATTATACTAGAATCTAAAAATATATGCTTATATTGGAATGGTGATTACCATGGGAGATGTTATTAAATAAACGAGATCTAGGAGTTGTACATGTACATGTGCTCTAAGGGCATTGTGATCATTTTATGAGCAAATTTATCTATCTTGAAGACCCCAATCCTTCACAAAGTTCTGAGGACCAGAAAATTTTTCAAATGAAAATTTATCCCAGTTTTCTCAAAAGTATTTAATGTGAAATAATATATTTTAAAATGTAGCAGTACATTTTTCAAAGATTAGTTTTGTTCTTTGACAAAATTGGTGATAAATTCTTCATTAGAAAATTAATTAACAAATGGTTCCTAGAACGATGGGTTGCACAAAAGAAAATAAAATACACAAAAAGAAAGTTGAGTTGCACATAGGGAAGATTATTTGCACAAAACATTATTCACATACAAGAGGCTAATTTGCACATAAAAATGATAACTTACATATGAGAGAAGATGGTTACACACATGAGAAGTTCGATTGTGCAAAAAGAAAATGTGACACAAAGAAATATGATTACACATAGGGGAAAATGAATTGCACATAAGAAAAGTCAAGTTGCACATTGAGAAAGTGAAGTTACGCAAAATTCTTAGGTACCATTTACCAATTAAATTCTTAGTCAGGGATTTATTCTCAACTTTTTCTTGTTCTTTTTGTTGTTTTTTCTCTGTATTTTTTTTGGTTCTGTTTTTAGTTTGGATTGTTTTTGTTTCTTTTTTCTAGCTGTTTTTGGTTGCCATTGTTCTGTTTTCTTTTGGATACCTTGTATTCATTTTTTAGCATTAATAAAAGGGGAAATTGAAAAAAAAAGATATTGGAATTGCAAAAATACAGATAGAGACTCTTGACAACTTCACTTTGGGTTTTGACAACTTCATGACATATTATTATTGTCAAAAGCTATAATGAAGTTGTCAAGGGTCCCTATCTCCATTTTTAATTCCAAGGTCTTTTTTTGCAATTTTTCCTTAATAAAATGTTGTTTTTTGTTAGAATATAGTAATACATGCTATGAACGAAGAAGTTTCATTACAATTACCAATTTATGTTTAGGTTTTAATCAATTACAAGCCAAAAGCCCACCAATACTCCTCCTGTTATATTTGTAAGGACGATAATTTTTCTTTTATTTTATTTCTATGTCATAGTACTAACTTTTTCTTAGTCATAGTACTAATATTTTCATGTAAATGTATAAATTTTCAAGTCATCATCCGATCTTTGATATAAGACATAGTTGATTAATATGGGGAGATTAAGGAGGTTAGTTAAGTTAGTTATTTGTGATAAATAGATATTGTCTTCCCAAAAATACCCTTATTAATCAGCTATGTTTAAATTACCTATTGATGCTAGCTTCTTAACATATACAACTAATACATGAATTGTTTGATGGCAAAATAGATATATATTGGAGACAAAGTAAATTGAGATCTTATATTAAGGACTTATGGTAGTATTAAATATTAAAAATAGTTAAAATTGATTAAAAACAATAAATATACTCCTCCGGTCCTTAATATAAGATTCATTTAACTAATATGATTAAATTAAAAAAGTTAGATAAGTTAATTAATTATAAGAAATGTGACACATTTTTCCTAAAACACCATAATCATCTTTCTTAATATCTCATCTCCCTCTTCTATTTGATTATGATTGAAGGAGTATTCATAGGGATAATTTAGAGAAAATTGATAAATATGAGAAATGGGTATTATGTTTAGAACCAAAACTAACTCAACAATTGGGTCCTATATTAATGACATAAAAATATATATTAAAATATCTTTATTTATGGAGAGTGTGAGTAAAAGAGAGAATGAGCAGAAAAACAGAGATAAGAGAGACATACAGTTAATTAAAAAAAATTGAAGTTTATATTTTAAAAAAAAGACTGGAGAGAATATTGCAATCTAACAAGCCGCTTTGACACTTCCCAACTGTGGCAATAAGTGGGGCTAAGCTGACAGCGGTCTTGCTCAAGAGCAGATTTATCGTAATCATTTAATTGGAATGGAGAAAACTAACGGCTGAGTTCTTGCATTGTGATGCAGACCATCGGTATCAATCAATTCCCTAACAAAACCTATCCAATATACTCTTCTTACTCATTTTATAATATAATTTAGAGTAAGAAGAGTATCATTTTTCTTTATAAATAATTTGATTGGACTTGTTTGAGGATATATATGTTTAATTTTCTAAATTACAATATCAATGATTCCATTCATGATGAAATTGTGATAGATGTTAGGAATGTTTTTCAAGCGCTTATAATAATTTAATTTAATAAGATATGTTCGTTTTGGATAAAAATCAATTTTAAACATGTTCTTCTATTTAGTTTAAAACTAATTTAATTGATATTAAATTAAATATTAATTAATGTAATACTACTTTTGGTTCTTCATATAAGACCTTATTTGAATTTTATTTTGGTCCTAAATATAAAACCCCAATTCACTTTGTCTCTTATATTTATACATTTTTTTTCAAGTCAATCCTTCTAACAATAGTAGTTCTAGCCAATATAATTGATTAACAAGGATATTTTAGAAAAAACAACACATATTTATTACAAATAACTAACTTAACTTCTTTTCTTAATCTCTTTAAATTAGTCAACTAGCTCTTATAATTAGGACAGAAGATAGTATTATTTAGTTAGGATAGAAAACCTCATTAAATATCACAACTTATAAGGGCGGCTTCAAAATCCACTATTAGCTAATGGTATTATATTATTTACAACCATTTCATAATTTACAAACTGATTTGCAAGTAATTTTTTAAAAATTACAGTTAATCTTCCGAAATTTACAATCTAACTTATAAAATTTAGAATCAACTATGTTACCAATCACAAGGGAAATTTTATCCATTTGGATTTTATAAAAATATTGGTCATTCTTTGTAAATTTTAAATTCATGATTTTTTTGTAAATAATTAATTTTCTTCCATAATTCTCATGCACGAATCTTCAGATTAATCAGCCTCGCCCCTAGGTTTTGAAAAATCATATTGATTGATGAAGAAATTAGGAGTCTTCCTTATCATCGAATGCTTTATTTAGAGACAGAATAAGAGGAAAAATCATATTATTTATTGAAAAGGGAACACTTTAGGTATCACCGTCTCGTTAATTTAAGAAAATTATTAAAACAAAACTCCCCATTTATTTATGGGAAAATTGCAAATAAAGACCCCTCAATATATAAAATAGCAATCAGGGACCCTAAATTTGAGAAATTGCTCACAAGGACCCGGTCTCAATTTGTAATTATGAAATCATGGTCAAATTACCAAAATACCCCTCTTTAATTTTTTTTTCCAAAAAACAACACCACTGCCTCGCCGGAATCCGGCCGCCGGCGCCGGAGTTCCGGCGGCCGGAGCTCCGCCACCTCGGCCGCCGGAGCTCCGGTGCCGGCGGCCGGATTCCGGCGGCCT